TCTAAGCAACAAGTATACGCTCGTATTAATGAGAGCTTCATTGAATAAACACAAAAGGATGTGCAGTGAGATCAATCCAAAATGTTATACATAAAACAACAATTAAAATATATTTCATAACATCTACTTAATTGTCTACCTACATTTTGTAAGTTCCCTCTGAATTTGAAATAAGATTATTTTTATGTGCTTCTGTACAATAGCCGGAATATACGTACTTAAAATATTCTAAAACACATATACATACATTTTTAATATATTAATGCTATAAATAAAAACAGTTCAAATGCCTCAAATGATTCTTACTGCAAATTTTCTTTCTCAATATTCATGTATGAGATTTGGAATTAAGGAATTTGTTGTTATATCGAACATACTGCTTTGAACTACAGTGTACTGCACGTGTACATGAGATTAGGAGTACTTCCTTCAAACTTAAGTTCCTAAACATGCATATAAAAAGGATGTAGTTAATACTGAGGAGGAAATTCCTTATTTTTATATGGAATTTCCTTTCGATCAAGTCTGATTACCAAGAATTTAGTGTATTGTTCTCTATAAATATACACATATGCAAATTTATAATTAACTTTGAATGATCAGCCAAATGTCGGCATATTAGACATGATTTCTACGCCAGTTTAACCCCTTTATTCCTTCGATCTTATCAAAATATTCTCTTAGAAAATGTTTTGGAAGATAGAGGTGTTGAACTTATCCTGCTTAACCTGTAAATAAAAAAAATATCAGCCATCGTATAACCATATTGTAAATTTGAAATAAAATAAAAAGAGGGAGGTAAATGCAAAATTTACAAAAAGCTAATTTTGTCATGTAATTTTAGCATTTACCTAGTAGTGAGTTCAAAATTTACAAAACTATAACTGACAACGTGGTTCATATCTAACCTTTGTTACACATATTGACAAGAAATAACATTTCCACGTGATATCTCGTGAAATTGTATTTACTCCTCTTATTTCTTATACCCCATTCATACGACGAAAATTTACTTATGTGTGCAAATTTACATATAAGTAAATCTACACACGTATGTAAAAGTTAATTTGCAATGCGTTCAGACGAGATTTATGTGCTGTAAGTAAATCCTCATATTTTCATATAAACTAAAGACATGGACAGATTCACAGTTGTGATTTTTTAGAGAAAGGGGTATTTCCTTATTGTTTGGGTATAAGACAAACTTTTAAATCTTCCTTAAAAAAAACTAGGGGAAGGTCCGTTCCACTGATGGAAGAACTTTTTATAAGCTTTAATTGAAGCAAAATGACATTATTGTCGTCCTGTGCATTATTGATTTCTCATATAATGCTATATATTCGACTGTACAGAAACATTTCTTCTGAAATATTTTAAAACTTTTATTTTGGTTTTATAATAAGGGTTTAAATTATATACAAATTAATCATAATAACACATTTTAATAGCAAAATATTTTTCTCAAAAACACAGCTCATATTGCTTTATTGTTGGAAAATGTTTTGGCTTCCGTCCCAAAGATTGTAGAAGAGCCATTGGGTGTAAAGAAAACGGGACTTGCCATCTATTAGTTGACGTTTTCGGCAGAAATAGGACCATTTATAATTTGTTTGATGTTGGGAAATCTACAGTACATCAAGTGTGCGATGTCATTAAAAGCATCTGCTTGAATACTAGTATTATATAATAATTATTTTTTTCAGTACAATGTATAATGAAAAGGATTTTAAAAAATCTAACAGTGATCGAACTCAAAAATCTTTGAACAATACAAATATGTTAAAAGGAAATCAACATGAACTTCTCGCTGGACATTCATGATGAGATCAGGTGCCAAATAGGTTACTTACGAATGTTTATTTTCACTAGTTGAAATTCCTGTAACATTAACTTTTATATGAGTAGCTTGCCTGAATTGAATACAGAGAGAGGTAGAAGAAAGTCATCAAGACCTACACGGTAATGGTGCACGAGCGATTGATGGAATGCTTGTTCCTATCATTGCTTCGGGACATTCCCAAGAAGAGAACTTGAATAGTAAGGACACTACTTATTGATCCTACAGGGCACTTGTTTGCGACCACAGCTATATCTTTAGAGACATAAACATAGGTTTGCCAGAAAGGGTGCAAGGTGCTCTCGTTTTTGCAAATTTGCAAATTTATCTCGGAGGGGATAATGGCTCCTTGTTTAATACTTTTGCTTTCTAGCCACCAAGTCGCCCGCGTGGCGCAGTGGTTAAAGCGTCTGCTATAGTGTCGCGAAGTAAGGAGTTGATCCTTACGTCGCGGGTTCGAATCCCATTGTTGGACGTGGAGACCGGTCCTTCGGATGAGACCGTATATAAGCCAAGGTCCCGTGTAGCAGTAGGTGCTGACATGAAAAAGATCTCTCCCTGCTCAATGGCCCTGAGTGCCGAGCATAGGACAAAATTTGCAGCTCTCCACCGGCAAGTGATGAGTGAAGAATTCTCGAGAGGGACGTTAAACAATATACAATCAATCTAGCCACCATGTTTAAAGACTGATATTTTGCACGCCAATGCAAACACAATCGAAACAACACTTAAAATGGAAATTTACAAAATAAACAAAACAGAATACATACATAAGTAAATTTGTTGCGTGTTCATACGACACAATTTACACGCATGAACTATTAATTTGCTACAAAGTGTATACTATGCAAAAGTTAATTTGCGACTAGTCCTGACCAGGTGTAAACTCAACTGTGCAGAATTTGCATATGAGTATATCAGTTCATACGACAAAAATTGCACATGTGAGTAAATTTACTCATGTGTAAAATATACTGAGGTATGCAAATCATGTCGTATGAATGGGGTAATAGTTATCAATTGCGCTGGGAAAAGTCAAATATATAACGATTCACTTCACTTTTTCAGCTTAGTGGGTTAACTTTGAAAAGAGGCATTGAAAACTGAGTGAAAAGGGGTGGGGATGTTGCATCTAAACGTAAATTTTTAAGAATAAATTTTTAAGAGATAAAATTTAGTCAGTGGGAAACAATGTTGCAAAATGTTCCTAAGTACGCAGTAATTAAATGCTGTATGTCCCAATGAATTTTGAGGGTGAAATACAACAAACACAACGAAAAAATCTGCTACTAGTATTGCAAGCATGAACGTTTGTCACCAAGAAAAGAACCAAAGCTTTTAGATTTACAAAAGTTTCTTTTTCAAATGCTCTGAAAAGTGCACTAAAATCGATTTTTTCTAGTCTTATTATTCATTCAATTTCAACTGAGAATGATTACTATTTCTGTGGAAGGTTTCAGTAATATTGTCAAAGCCGTCTGGTAGAACATTCAAGGACAAAACCATGTGTGGAAACAACGCTCAAACATGTAGATGTCTCGACTGCATCTTTTATAAGTTTTTTGTTCGTTTTGCCCACTCTGTACAATAATTTACAGGAATCACTTTCATATGATGAAATAACTAAAAAAAAAAACGAAATTTAAAAAATAGGTCTATGACTTTTTGGCTGTTGCCATGGCAAAAAGCAGTTACAAATCTGAAATTTTTGAGAGGTGAAACACAAATACCTGAATGTACAGTTGGTGATTATCATTTCTATAACGTTTCAGTAAGTTTGTATCGGCCATTTTCGAGAAATTTGCAGAACCGAATCACTAGCAATTTGTCACACAATTAGTCATGTGACATAGACTTTTTAAAATTATCTTTGTTTTCTGTCCACCCTTTTCCAAACTGTCCACTTTTTAAAGTAGAGTGGTACATGTTGATAGGATTTCAATATATAAACTTCCAATGTAAAAAAAGATTTTAAAATAACACGAAATCATTGTCAAATATGTACATGTGTGTTAAAATTGAAGCTACATTTTTACAAGATGCAAAAGGAAACTAAGGATTGATAAGATCACCGAAAATCTGACGGATATGTATCTGAAATTAGGTGTACACGTACTTACAGCGTGTCGTCACCGAATGATAAAAACAAAGCGGCTCATTTAAGGGTGCTTATAGAGTACCACTTTTGTGTCAACTTGCAATTTTAACTTCTTTTAGATGTGGTTTACTAATTTATTACAGTATAACTAATACACACGTGCTTTTATTTTCATTAGGGTAAAAAGCAATCGGTAAAACAATTGAGTAAGTTGTCTAACTGTTTGTGAGTCAGTCAAGAGCATGAAAATTATTATATGTATGGGAAGATTATGATATAAAGAGACCATTAGAGACTTATGAGAAATACCCTGACGTGGTATATGCACAAAGGAGATCGAAGACCAGACCTATGCATGGTCCATCGGATGAAACCTATAAAACCAAGGCCCCGTATCACGGTAGACGTTAAGATCCCTCACTGCTCAATGGCCATAAGTGCTGAGTAGAGGTCAAAATTTGAAGCCCTTCGTTGGTATATAAGTTAATTAATATTCTCTAGTGGGAAGTAAAACAACATACAATCAATCAATAAAAAACAAAATAGGGTATGAACGGAAGTAAATGACAGATTCGCATGTATTTTAAATTTTAAAAAATTCGTCCAAATACATGTCACCGAATAAATAAGTACTACAAACGTTTAGTGCATTATCTTCGTACTAGTAATTATTAATTGGATTTCAACCGATTCCACTCAAATTATTTATGTGTTCGAAACAATTCACGTGAAAATATTGTTTTGAAAAATAATTGTAATCAAAGTAATGAAGTATGACTACGCAGACTTTTACTACAGACATACACGACACGTTTTGCACAATTGACCGAATATTTCAAGAGAGGAAAATAATTAAACTTAATTTTCATAATATCATTTAGGCATCTATATTTGAGATGTATAGTAGTAGATGATTTGGATACGATGTATACACAAACGCATTGTTCATTCTAACAAATTCTTTTTATTTTTTTTTTATATCAGACAGGTCAGGATGATATTAAACGTACCTGTAGGACACTCTGTTGAAACTTCCTTATCTTTCTAGAACTGTCATTTTGTGCCTTGCCATAAAACGAATCATACTAATTTGGAAACAAAGTTGAGAAATGTGGTTGCCATTGTTCATTATTGCCCTGCAGTTTTCCGTTGGATATTCTGACAATGCTTGTGATGAGAAACTGGTTGAATTTGAGATGAAATTAGCTGCTTTGGAAAGTTTCACTTTAAAACTGGCTCGGAAGTTGGAAGTGACGGAGAAAAACTCTTGACGAAACTAAAGATAAACGGGAGCGATCAGAAAAAGCCATCAAAGCTTTGGAGACCGAGAACTTTCATATTCGAGAACAGTTACAAAAAGCAAACAGCGGACTCAAAAATATGCGTATAAACCATTATAGTAATGCATTCAATAAAAACCGTACTATGGACTTGAATGAAACCAAAGTCAAAGCAAAGTCTCTAAAGCAAAACAGTAAGTACAATTTTTAAATTATTACACGTTACACCAATTGCAATCAATTAAATACATGTAATATCATTCAACCAATTCTTGCAAAACAACCCTTATCCACTGCCTATGTCTGATATACAAAAATGAAAAAGATATTTCATCAATTTTCCCCTTAACTGAGGAACAGTCAACTGTAGCGTTATAGTTTTATATTTTAGTCATTAGCTATATTGTTACAGATCCCCGAACTTTTCCGATCATGACAGGTTTGTTCTAAAATGTGTCTAGAATTAAGAAATAAAAAATAGTGGATTGACCAATGCTGGAAAAAGTGCAGAAAGTCGTCCCTACTGAACGCAAAACTTGATCTTGATCCGTAAATTGCATTTTATTTACGGGATCTGTAGCGTTATGGTCAGTGATATATAAAAATAAATCCATAACGCTACAGATCTGTAGTTAACATCGTCACATGGGATCCTAGCTCTCCCATCTGGAGAATGCTATGAGCGCGATTTTCAGACCGTAGCTTGATACGACGTACTTTTCTGTAAATAATACAGTACGAGTCAATTGCGTTACTAGCATGCAGGATATAGAATTTAAGGCAATTACCGATTTTTTTTTCGATTTAAGGAGGCTAGGGGGTCAACAAATTATTTCTTTTATTAACCACCAGATATACCCTCGAATCATGAGTTTTCGTGGCATTACGGTTAATTTGTAATAAAGTGCTTCAAGACTGAATAATTGAGATGTTTGCTATTTATCACATATACAAACAATAATTCTCCTTATTTTAAAATGATTTTAACTCACATATCATTTGTTATTTGTTTAGAAGGTCATTGAATTCTTGCATAGTTGCTCTGTCGATTTTTTTGCTGACGTCATATGTTTTCGTGGTATTTATAAAACAAATAAACTATAGTAAAAGTAAAAAAGTTTAATTGAACAGTCAGGTAATTGCTGCCCTGCGGGGCCTGACCTGCATTGCTACATGATTCCTTATGCTCATAGGGTCTCTATTCCCTTTCCTTGGTGTCAACTTTGCAATAGACAACAGTTGGATGGTTTTCATTAAATTTATTAAAGACTTGAAATAAAGCATACATGTACAATCTTGTGTTATTCATAACTGTGATGGACAAAAGAGGTAGTTGGCGTTAATAGGCCGCATTGCATAGATGTACAATAAAGAATAGGGTCCGGAAGGACAACTGGCATACCGACTAAAGAGTACCGGGCAAAACCAGTGGCCCTGTGTTGGTCACAGGTGCCTGGGATCCCAAATTTGGGTACTAGACATTTGGGCCCGGGAGAGTTGCAAGCACATCTGTATACCCTGCTTCCTGAGATTGCTTCTGGTCAGCAGTACTTTAACACCCAAGTACTCCAGTACTAAGCCTCCCCTCCTGTTACAAGAGGTAGAGGGGGCCCCAGGCCTGCAGGCTTGGCAAAGACCCCAATCGAAAAACTTGTTACTTGACATTTTACTTTACTTTTTGTTAAACATTGCCATAGGTTGGATGTTTTGTAGACAACCTGTCTACCCAACAAAGTGCCCACCAACTTATCTGCTGGCTGGGCAGGAAACAACGAGCCAGATATGTTCACAACCCTCCCACTTATCCCCCCGGACCCACCCCCCGTTAATACAAAGCGACGAGGATTTTGATAGGTCTTATGTATTTTGGCTATTTAATTAGGCAATGAGATAAACAAAATAATTAATGTCACTTGACATTAGTCTAATCGCACTGACACAGTCCTGAATCACTTTTTGGACTGGCTTTGATCTGGTATTGGATTGGCTTCCCTTTTTCAACATCAATTACTGTGAGCTGGATTTTGGTTGGCCCTCTTTGTTGCTGGGTGTCTGAAAAAGGCAAAAAATTCTGACAGCAGATTACTGCAATTTGGTGGTATTTTCATTAGCCAATGGTTGCATTGTCTAATGATATTAATATTGTCGGTATGTTTGGGATGTATATATATATCAATATACCTATAAATTCTAGAGATACATCTCATATATGGGATTGTGTATAGGGACATGTGGATTCAGTACTGTGGAATAGCAAACTTTTGTGGCATTCCAATTTTTGGCTGTATTTGAGGCCTGAGGAGTCCCCCCAGAAACCCATGTCCACCCCTAGTTTACGAACCACGAAAAAGAACAACCCCCCCAAAAGCATGCGATTTCACATAAGTATAAAAGTTACCCTTATTAGAAGGGGGTGGGTGGGTGGGTAATAATTTTAATGGAGGTTTCCTTTGCCGCGCTCTTTTTCTTAGTGGCGGAAGCGGAAGTGATACACACTAATTAACTCGTACAAAGATGACTTCGATTTTGCCAATTCGTACCATTATTAGTTTTAACCATATTATCTGTGTGCTTCCGTCAATTAAATGAGATTAATTTGGTAAAAGGGCAAATTAATCTGCCTTAATTGAACAGTCAGGTAATTGCTGCCCTGCGGGGCCTGACCTGCATTGCTACATGATTCCTTATGCTCATAGGGTCTCTATTCCCTTTCCTTGGTGTCAACTTTGCAATAGACAACAGTTGGATGGTTTTCATTAAATTTATTAAAGACTTGAAATAAAGCATACATGTACAATCTTGTGTTATTCATAACTGTGATGGACAAAAGAGGTAGTTGGCGTTAATAGGCCGCATTGCATAGATGTACAATAAAGAATAGGGTCCGGAAGGACAACTGGCATACCGACTAAAGAGTACCGGGCAAAACCAGTGGCCCTGTGTTGGTCACAGGTGCCTGGGATCCCAAATTTGGGTACTAGACATTTGGGCCCGGGAGAGTTGCAAGCACATCTGTATACCCTGCTTCCTGAGATTGCTTCTGGTCAGCAGTACTTTAACACCCAAGTACTCCAGTACTAAGCCTCCCCTCCTGTTACAAGAGGTAGAGGGGGCCCCAGGCCTGCAGGCTTGGCAAAGACCCCAATCGAAAAACTTGTTACTTGACATTTTACTTTACTTTTTGTTAAACATTGCCATAGGTTGGATGTTTTGTAGACAACCTGTCTACCCAACAAAGTGCCCACCAACTTATCTGCTGGCTGGGCAGGAAACAACGAGCCAGATATGTTCACAACCCTCCCACTTATCCCCCCGGACCCGCCATAGACATCGATATGATGTTCCTCCATTACTTTATATTAGGGGATACTTTCCCCTTCCCTTGAATAAGGAACCACAAACCACTTTTTACATTATTTAAGAAGGTTCTGTTGCCCAGCTCGGAGAGGTGGGTTCCATCAAATCTGAACAAGTCTGTGTTAGCGACGGATATGTTTGCATGAGAAATAACACCCCCACCTAATTCTGTAACAAATTTAGATATATTTTTGTTAATTCTTTTGCGTTTCTTGTCAATCTTTTTTCCACTGTTCAATGGGGCTCCATGCCAATAACGGCGTGGTAGAATGTGTGACCACACCAATTTTGTATTTGGGAGAAGGGCATTATATCGCTGGAAGCTGCACTGAATCTCTTGTATGAATTTTTTGCTAGTTAGGTTTGGCGTTACCAAGTCATTGGATCCTAAATGAATTACTAAGTAATGGGGGGGGGTGCTTCTTGTTTGATGAGCTGTAGGATTTTTGGGTCGAGTTCATGCCAGTGCATCCCCCTGTGTGTTCTCCATTGCAGTGTGGCAGGGAGGTTCAGGCTTTGTCCCCCTGGGCAGTGTTTGGCTGCTTCCCCTGCCCAGTAAGGAATGGAAGACCCTATGATCCATATTTTTTGACCTGCAATGCTTTGGGTTGGTTAGTTATGGGTTAAAAATTAACTATATAAACGTTCAATTATCCCTCCCCCCCATAGGTGAGCAAATGTCCTTAATTTTAGATAGGTATGTGTAGATAAGCAGACAAAGTGTGGACATCAATTTGTTGATATCCATGTTAGAATTTGGCGTTTCTATTACTGCATTTGATTGAGGGGTGTGATCCCCCACAGGAATCGCACGAGTGGACAAACCTGCAATTTGGGTAAAATTTACATGACTTGCCTGAATTAAAATCATAGCAGTAACGATTTGATGTGAAGTTTGCATTTTTCTCAGCCATTGAAATGTTGGACTGTTTGTGATGAGGGTAGGAATTTTGTGAGGGGGATATGGGATTTTCTTGGGCCTGTGTAACATAGTTGTTTGTAACGTGTATCAACCAGAGTTCAGAATTTATGATACCCCAAGATGAATGAGGGTCAGTTACTTTGCGCAGCCTAAATTGTTCATCATAGGTGAACCAACCGTTCCCAGATCTATCAGCAGCCATTCTTATGTCCCTCATATATTTCAGAAATTCTTGGGCTCTTGCTCTGTATTTTTCTAACATTATACTTGTAAAGATGAGGAAGGCCGACGTCCATTTGTCAATTGACAAAAAGGTGCGCATTTTTTGCTTAACAAGGCACATTGTGCCATTACGTATTTGTATTTGGCCTTGTGTATCTAAGTGGTCTGAGATTTCCCGCGCCGATTTTAATAATATTGATAGATCAATAAATTTTCCCTCCCAAATCTTTCGCTTGATTTTTTGGGGGACGTGGGCGCTAATAGGGTCTATACAGCTAGGGGTCTGGGCCGGTTGGTAGTCTGAGATGTTAAAAGGGGGGCCGTCGAATTCCTCATTGATTGTGTTAAAAGATAAATCGTTTGCTGTGGGGAGGCTCAAAATATTTAACTCACCCGTGTTACTCGAGGTCTCGGCCTCGTCCAGGCCCTCTGAGATATCTGCAGTGTGAAGCATGGGGTCCGCCACCGTTACTGTGGCTGGTTGCGTTGGTGTGGTTGGCCTCCTGGCCGGGTTTCCCCTTTGTGATGGTCTTGTGTTTGGTGGGACTTCGTGCGGGGGCCGATTGGGATGGTTGGGTCGCCTCCGGATCCCTCGCCCTCTGCCTGGTGACACGAAACTTCGGTCCCGGTCCTTCCTTGACCGCGTGGTTACTTTACTTCTCACTGGCGGCATTTTCCGGCGATTGGTTTGTGCAGATTGTTTCGATAATAATTTTAATGGAGGTTTCCTTTGCCGCGCTCTTTTTCTTAGTGGCGGAAGCGGAAGTGATACACACTAATTAACTCGTACAAAGATGACTTCGATTTTGCCAATTCGTACCATTATTAGTTTTAACCATATTATCTGTGTGCTTCCGTCAATTAAATGAGATTAATTTGGTAAAAGGGCAAATTAATCTGCCATAAATGCAGGCGTCCCACAAGGTTCGGTATTAGGACCATTCCTCTTTTTGATATATATTAATGACATAACTGAAGATTTAGAAAATCAAATTAGGTTATTTGCAGATGATACTTCTTTGTTTGTAATTGTAGACTCTGATACACAAGCTCCTGCCGTCTCTTTAATTAATGACTTGGAAAAAATTAAACAATGGTCCAGACAATGGATGGTAGACTTTAACCCTAGCAAAACTGTAAATGTTAATTTTACCCGGTCAAATAAAGCTCATCCACAAATCTCATTTGGTTATGTAAATAGTTACATAGAACAACAGCAAAGTCACTGCCACCTTGGACTTATACTACAATCCAATGGTGGTTGGTAAGAACATATATCCAAAATATATGATAAAGCATGTCAACGTTTAAATGTTCTTCGCACCCTTAAATACAAATTAAACAGAGATTCCCTTATTAGTATTTATATTGCTTTTATAAGGCCTATTTTAGAATATGGAAATGTAGTATGGGATAATTGCACACAGGAACAGAGTAATCTATTAGAGAGTGTGCAAATAGAGGCTGGGCGTATCATTACTGGGTTAAGGCGCAATTCTTCGAAACAAAAATTGTATCATGAATTAGGATGGCAAACGCTTAGTGAAAGAAGAACTAAACATAAGTTTACACTTATGTACAAAATACTTAATGATTATACACCTGAATATTTGCAAGAAATGGTCAATCAATGCCTACCTGTTTCACATAATTGCGCGTTACGCAATAATTCGTATCACTTACCAATCAATAGAACAGTTGCATACTACAATAGTTTTTTACCATCTACAATTAAATTATGGAATGATTTGCCAGATAGCTTAAAATCTGTAACAAGTGTAGCAAAGTTTAAACAGTGTATGCAAAATAAAAATCTTGAAGATAAAACAAAATCCAAATTATACAATTATGGACAAAGAAAATTAAATATACTCCACTGTCAGTTGAGAAACTTCTCTAGTAATCTTAATGCAGACTTGTTTAATCATAATTTAGTTGATTCACCTAAATGCTTAAAATGTGGATATTGTTTTGAAGACTCTGTTCATTTTTTCTTTCAATGTCCATGTTATAATTTTGCCAGGAACATTTTAATTACATACATGAGTGACCATGACATACCAAGAGATGTCAATATTGTATTATCAGATTGTGATTGTCTATCTCTTAGAGAAAATATGTTATTCTTTGACCAAGTTCATAATTTTATAAAAAACACTAAAAGATTTTAGTCTGAGCCTTCCTCTCCATATTCTTATTACTTAATTTTTTGTTTGTTTGTTTTTTCCATCATTTTTTCTTTTCTTTTAAATTTATGTTATTGTTTTCTTTATGCATTTTTTCTCCTCAATTTTTCTTCAACCATGTATTCTTTATAATTCTCTTAATATTAATTTATAATACATGTTTTGTTGAACTTAAAATATGTACAGTAATTTAATTGTACCATGTGTACCTTGATCTTAAATGGAGAGAACTAATATAGGCCCTTGGCCTGCTGTTCAATCCATATTCATATTGTACTCTTTGTATATTATGAATAAAATACTTCTTAAACTAAACAAATAAACTATGGAAATCTAGTCGGGCAAAATCCTTATAAATTTTACAGTGTCAAAAATACCAGTTAATTGACAAAATGATTACATTATTTGACATGGAAATTTGTTTTTTGTTAATTAAGACCACATCTATCTACTAGAGGCGCGCCTAAGCTGTATAATTGCTAAATAATGTAAAAATTTTCTCTTTCTCAAGAGGTGCCTAGAAGTAATTTTGTAAAGCTTTACTTGAATGTTTCATGTTTTAAAATATAAATTCCATGTATATTTTAAGAAATTAAATATTCAATTCAATTAATTATCAATGGCACAATATTTTTTTTAATCATATAACTTTTTAACACCCCCGATATTTTCTTTGAAAATTATATAAAAAATGACTTTACTAGATCACCGTAGAAAAAATATCAAAAGTGGGAAATTCCAAATTATTGTCATATGACCGGTAGCTGTATGGATAGTTAACAGACGATGATATGCAGGATCGCCAGCTATTAGTTTGTAAGTTTGGTATTCAAGTTCAAAACACGACGAATAAGCGTATATTACGCAAATTGTCAAATTTGCGAACTATGCACAACTCACTCGCTATATTTTATTTAGGCAAAGGCAAAAAGGTTTAACATTTGGTCATAAAACATGCACAGGGTTCCCCTTTATTAATAGTAAATATGACGTCATTTCTATCTCGCATATTGTGCGATTATTCCTAAAAATGAAAAATACAACGAAAACGTATATACCACGAAAACACATGACGAGACGGTAACTTAAATTTTGGGATATGATATCTTAAGCTGTCAACTATCATTTGGCAAAGAAAAATTTCATAAATTTTAGTTTAAAAATTTGATCATTTTATTATATCTTTATATGGAGCTCTTCTTCTAAAGGAGATCAAAATAGTCTGAAAATGGCCACAAGCACCCAGCCCCTTTAACTTAAATTATAGAGATTTAATTAATTCTACCAGAATTTGATCATGTAACACTATTTTCAACAACGGTGACCATAAAATTTGAGGCAGATTAGTGAACAAAGGCAGTTTAACAGATTTATAGAATTTGTAGCCAGGAATAGACTGAAAGATATTGATTAATTGTATGTTGTTTAACGTCCCTCGAGAATTTTTCTCTCAAATGGAGACACCACCACTTGCCGATGGAGAGTTGCAAATTTTGTCCTATACTCGGCACTTAGGGCCACAGGCACTTGTTTCGGAATTAAATTTTTAATATATGGTATAATAATAACAGTGTTATTATTGTACAATGAGTTAAAAATTTATGTCCGAAACGTAACTGTGCTTACGGCCATTGAGCAGTGAGGGTTCACTTTTGTGCCAGCACCTACCGCGACACGGGACCTCGGTTTATACGGTCTCATACATGTATGAACGACCATATATAGCACAGAAAGATACCTTGATATTGAGATAAGGCCTTTAGTACAGAGACATACAATACACATTATATTGTTTACACTTATATCTTTTCTTCCTTTATGTTTGTAAATACCTACACTCAATTTTGTTTATTTTTTAATCGATGCGCCATGTAATATATTATCAAGAAAACTTTACACTGTATGTTAACCAAAAATCTGATTGAAACAGTAGTGACATTCATTCAAAGAATCCATACAATCATGTAGTTACACTTTTTATCTCAACTGAAACAAATTAAATCATTTTTATAACTTAGAACATTACGCAGAGGCGTAGTCACAAACTTAAAAGTGGGGGGGGGCTCAAGTCTAGAAATTCTTTGACAAGCAAAAAAAAAAAAAAGAAAGAAAGTTCCCCAAACTCGAAAATCCTATTTCGCATTTCGGGGAGGGGGGGGGGGGGGCTCAAAAGTCCAGAATTCTTTGAAAACCAAAAAAAAAAAAAAAAAAAAAAGGCAAGTTACCCAAAGTCGAAAATCGTAAAGTCGAAAATCCTATTTCGTGGGGGGGGGGGGGGGGGGGGGGGGGGGGGGGGGGGGGGGGGGGGGGGGGGGGGGGGGGGGTAACGGCCAACTTTCTTTTCAAAGTCAAGTTACTTTCAATTCCAATTTTTCTACACAACTTTACATTCATATTATTTCAAAATAGCTGTTATTTTGTTCTTCATTAAAAAGTGGGGGGACACAGACATACTCTTGCCCCCCCAGATCTGAAAGTGGGGGGGCTAGTGCCCCCGCTGCCCCCCCTGTGACTACGCCTATGTTACGTGTGTATAATTATTTGGTGAATATATTGACAATTTAAATTTTCATTTTTAGTACATTATATGTTCCTCTTAATTATCTTCAATAATCAATAATATCTCCTCACCCCTTAATGGTATATTTCATATTTACAGGTGTCCAAAAACGACTACTGATTGGAAATGTCAACACCACCATTGCTTCACCTAGCAGCCATAGAATTGGCTTTACTGCAGTGACAACGGACCATCAGATGCACATGGGAATAGACCATACTGTCCATTTTCCTAAAGTTATTACTAATGTCGGCAATGGGTTTGATCCATTTACGGGAATATTTCGCGCACCTGTTTCCGGTCTATATCTCATCAGTGCATCCATTCTCAGCCATTCTGGTCAGGAAGTTAGATGTGCAATAACTAAAAATGGTGGTGATATTGCTAATATATTCAGCGGAGACAGTACAACGTATTCTACAGGAGCCAAGTCTGTTCTGCTTGACCTCGTGGCAAACGATGACGTCTGGGTTAAAATATTCGGCAGAAATGATGTACATATTTACGGATATTCTTGGTCGTCCTTTATGGGAGTATTAATATCCCCATAACTAAATAAAGTTCATAATGATGCCTGGTGCATATCAGGCAGTGTGTACAAACATTGCATGCTTGTACTTTGGCAGTTTTTGTCTGCCACCTTTTTTGCTGATTGTTATTTTTTACATTCTGGATTGTTTATTTGGATTTTCTTCATGTAATATGTTACACTGGGGAGATCAACTAATGTTTTGTACAAATTTACACATTTTTTCAAGAGTGATCTCCCCTTTATCTGATGTATCTTGGAAAGCCAACGGGTTCAAAATTCCAACTCTGCTTAAAATGTACACTTGCGAATTTTCATTATCTGTCGTCATTTATACATGTATAATAAATGACAAATTCATCCATCAAACTTTGTGTTTGCGTTACTTTAATATGGATGTGATATGCTCTACATAAATTTAGAAGTGTGTGCAAAAAACTAGCTTCAGTGAACTTGTAAAATTAGTTAAATTACACTGGAGAACATAAAACTGCATTATTGTAAATAATAGCATTTATGTACTCATGTAATGATTTTATGTATTCATGTAATGAAGTTTTGAGTTTGTACTTTTAACTGGTTCATCAATCCGTTTTTATCCGCCGTGTTTCAATTTTGTGTCAATATTAGAGCGATCGATAGGGGGTAATTTTACCGACCAATCAGAAGAGACACTAAATGTAGATTCTACGTCACTTCTTGTTTTGATTCGATCGCAGTAAGAAGGGTTTTCCAAGTGTTGCCCACCATCCACCCCGATCATTATTCCACCTTTATGCCATACTGCTAAATTAATATGCAATGTAAAGAGTTAATGGATAAAAATGTTTAAAAATACATATATGTTTATATATTTTAATATGTTTTTATTTTGGCAGTTGTAATCCGCCAAGGCAGTTTTTGTCTGCCACCTTTTTTGCTGATTGTTATTTTTTACATTCTGGATTGTTTATTTGGATTTTCTTCATGTAATATGTTACACTGGGGAGATCAACTAATGCTTTGTACAAATTTACACATTTTTTCAAGAGTGATCTCCCCTTTATCTGATGTATCTTTTCATTATCTGTCGTCATTTATACATGTATAATAAATGACAAATTCATCCATCAAACTTTGTGTTTGCGTTACTTTAATATGGATGTGATATGCTCTACATAAATTTAGAAGTGTGTGCAAAAAACTAGCTTCAGTGAACTTGTAAAATTAGTTAAATTACACTGGAGAACATAAATATAATTGGGTATCTAACTATTTCTCCGAGTTCTTTATTTTGTAAAGATTGGGGGCATAATGCTTTTTTCTAACGGTCTCTTTCATATTTTGCTGTAGCATATATGTAGAGGTTAGGGCTTCGCAATGAAAGATTCCATTTTTATTCTCCCGCTTCGTCCCTCTCGAGAAGTTTTCACTCATATGGAGACGCCACCACTTGCCGGTGGAGACCTGCATTTGTCCTATACGCGGCACTTAGGACCATTGATCAGGGAGGGATCTTTTTCGTGCCAGCACCTACTGCGACATGGTGCCTCGGTTTATACAGTCTCATACGATGGACCAGTCTCCACGTCCCACAGTGGGATTCAAACGATCGACATAGGGATTGATTCCTTGGCGGCTTTAAGCAGACTCTCTAACCACTGGGCTACGCGGGTGGCTCCCACTGTATGTAGGTTTCCGTATTGGTTTTTAGACGTTGACAGGGGAAGAAGTGGAACGATAATATGGATAGATATTGAAGATTTTTCTTAAAATAGTAAGGTCGTTTCCGCGGTAATTGGAAGCGCTCTCAAGCCTTTCCTGGTTGATATACTAGTATATATACGCGCGATGCAAATTTCGTACGTTAGAGACAGGCAATATGTACCAGTCTACATCCGGATTCCGTTTTTTAATTTATTGTCCAACCTAGACATAAATGAACTAAAAATGATTTGGTCATATTATGCCAAGATTTAGCTTTCTTACAATTATACCACCTTCCTGGATAACAAACTCGGGAAAAAAAATCTTTTCAGAGTATGTGGGAAAGACAGGTCAATTAAGTTTTTATCATCTGAAAAAACATAAGATTTGAAGTTTCGTGTTTTGTTGGTTAAACTGCACGTAAATGAACAACAAATAACAGGTACCCGGGTCTTATAAAAATCAAGACTGTATACATGTTATTTCTAAAATGTAATGAAAGTCTGACTTTTCTAATCTACCGTCATGGTTCACAAGCTCAAAAGACCGGCTCAGCAACTTTGATTATAGGCCTGAGAGGAAGGGATTGCTAGAAAGCAGTATCCCATTGGAATATTTTAAACAAGGTATGCATTACTTTTAATAGCCTTTTATTTTTCATCTCGAAATTTAAATTACAGTACTAAAATACAGAATACTAAAATGACAGTAAAGAATTATGCCATTGCCGACATGAACCCTACTATTAGATTTATTACTTCTATTTTGAATTGTGACACCCCCACCCCAAACTCAACCCCCGAATGCACCAATATGACTTTCTATTAATAATTAATCGATTTATCAAATGGATCAGATATTTTCTTTTTATATATTTTATTTGATGGCATGACGATCTGGTATAACAGATATATAAATGTGACTAATTTTTCTTTTAAAAAAATACATTTGTCAATAAATATTCTCTTTGTGACGTACGGTTAGTTATAAACATTTTAATTTTCTAATTCCATATATTTTATTGATCAATATTTTTGATTAAAATAAAAAATATTTAAATTGAATTCCTTTATAAATCGTTTTTTTTAAGAAGAAATTATTTTATTAAGAAATTCTGAAAAATAGTTTAATTTGAGAGGGATTTGTCCCTAAGACTTTTTCTCTTGAACTGTGCTCTTTAGACATTAGAGCTGTAAAGATTCAGGAAGAATACGCCCACATGCAAGTGTATGATTTTCAAATCCTAATTGTAAAGTTCGAAGTTTATACGAAATGAAGATTTTATCCGCCATCATGGAAAGGGTACGTTTTAAAAAATCTTCCATTAATTAAACGTTGCGTCCATTACATATACATGTGCATCTTTTAAATGGATGATTTTTATACAATTCGATTAAAATATGGTTTAGAAAAATGACAGAATAAAATTATTTATTTTCTTCAATTAATACATTTTATATCAACTTTTAAAAAGGAGGAAAAATGAGCGGTTTTAAAATCTGAAATATGCATGTAAGTCTTGTATCTTTAAAGATTGAAGCAAAACAATTATATTTCAACAAATATGAATTATAATATGAAATGAAAATCATAGTTTCCTCATTTCAAGCCATTAAAAGTATGGGAAGAAACACCTACAAAATAAACGAATAACAGATGTCATCTTCAAGTGTTATATGGAATTACCCAAGTGACACAACCCCGAATAGATGACCATCACCTCATGCACAACCTCCAAAACAAGATATAGATTACTGGTGAAAGGGAGACGTCAAATACACCGTAACATTTCGGATGCCAGTTACGGGGGTATTATAAAACCTTACTTGTTATTGAACACGACTTGATTGATTGAAAGGCGAACAGGAAAGTGATACTATGGGTCTATGACAAAGGCATTTCCGGTACATACTGTATGTAACACGGACAAGCTCGGCTTCCTTGTTCAGTATGATAAAATAGTAAAAACAATAGCCACATTAAACACTTGGCGATATGGAGAGGAACTTAACACTGGAAGTACTATCTGTCAATCTGACCAACTTTTCCTCACTAGAGGAGTTAGAATGGGAGGACTTTCTGACCAATGATATCCCCATTGTTGTTTTCCTGGCTATTCTCTCTGTGGTCGGCACGGTGGGTAACGGACACGCATTCTGTGTATATTATTTCTGTTACACTTCTTCCAATCATCGGACTTTTGTGGTAGCTCTAGCACTGATAGATTTCATCGCCTGTTTTATAGTGATACCATTTGAGATTTTTGACATGAGATATAAGTACACCTTTACTTCGTCCAATACGTGCAAAACCTTTCGGTTCATGAACCACTGTGTTGTGATAAGTTCAGGTTTAATGCTTGGAGTCATCGCCGTGGAAAGATTCCGAAAAGCCTGTAGACCTTTTCTGAGACAGTTGTCACCGAAGGGGGCGTTTTTTGCCTGCCTCGGAACAGTATTATTTTCTATCATTATAAGCATCCCCGTAACTGTGTTCTATGGATCTGCGGAAAAAGATGTCGGTGGATTCATCGGTCATAACTGCCAAACTCTACCCAGCTTCCGGAAAAATATATTTTACAAAATTTTTAATGGATTTCTGCTTTTACTAAGTACGAGTATATTTGTGATATGCATTGTGGTATACATTTTTGTTGGACGGGTACTGTACAAACAAATGAAATTCCGTATGGAGGCACAGCAAACTCATAGAGGAGCGCATCAATCTATGATCCAAAACGACGATGCCGAAAGTGAGTCCAGCTCAGTTGTGTTGAGTTCTAAAGAAATTTCCTCACATGGAAGCAGAAAAAGCGCACTTCGCACCCTTAGTTCTGTTTCGCTTGGCGCTTTGAACAGACTGTCTACAAAACGGAAGAAACTTGGAGTCAGTCGCAGTAGACGAATCACCGTGATGTTTATTGTCGCGACAGGTGTGTCATACATCGGAGTGTTCCCGAATAGTTTAATTCTGATAATCAAGGCTGTGAATTACACGCACTACAAAGCCCTGTCTGCTAAGCTGGGATTTTTCATTAAACTGCTTTTACGGGGATATTTCCTTAGTAACGTGACAAACCCCATAGTTTATAGTTTTTTTGATGACCGCTTTCGGAGGGAGTGTAGAAAACTATATTCTAAGTTAAAATGCTTAAAATGTTAGTTCCTCACTTACCAAAAGTGGAATTTGTGATTTGTGATAAAATTTATATATGTTTTTTTTTTCAAATTAAATTTATTTGTAACTTTTAATGTCGATCTTTTTAAAAAGACTACTGATTAAAATGTCACTAAAACAAATATCTAACTGAATATAGGGTACATCATGTGAATGCAAGTTTTATTCATTTTGAAAGTGACTACATGTTTCTCGGTCTCTTATTGTATGCATGACTAGAAAAGTACAAAATGAAAACGCCCAAAAGTCCATTAACAACAATACTGTTTCCTATACACGCAATAACATTGATCCCTATGAAATGTCTCCCTGAAAACAGAATAAATAATTGAAGAATTTTTCCTTATACATGCATTTTTTCGATTGTTACAAGTGCATCTACTTTTCAAATCTTGAAATAACATTTATTACGGAAACCAATTGTCATGTTAAATTTCTCAATATTCCTATTTATTTGATAGAATAATAAAACGTATTTTTATATGAAACGCACATTTATGATGAAATAATAAATTTAAAATAATTAATAAATAAAGAGTGCATGTACTAAATGGCAAATTTAAAAGTTTTGAGACATAAAAAAGTTATTCATGCTTTTATCGTCTTCTTTCCTATAAATAACATTAGTCTTTATTTCATGAAAATCCTTCAAATTCTTGTTTTCTGGAAACATATCTACAAACATCTATAATTTTGTATACACAAGTATCTTAAGTTTATAAGACAATTAGATGCCAGTAAAGTTTAAGTAGATATACATGTGTAAAGTACAGATTAATTTAAAGATCTTAAATCATTAAACCTCTATGATTTTCCATAAAGATACGTGTTTGTTTACAAATAAAATATTTAAGTCCGCAATGAAAGTAAACATCATCGTACGTTGCTTTAATGACGCGCTTGAGGGATCCGTTAGTATTAGTAAAGATAACAAATTATGCAAAATTTATATAACAGCGACCAAACAACGAATACAATATGTTTCTGTACATTGTCACCACGGCCTGCTGTTTGAATCGAATTATTATTATCACTCCATGTTCTTCTCATATGAATCCTTGCAAGTGCATGTACATGTAAAGCTAAAGTGTCAAGTCCCTGCTTAATTATGTGTATTAATTAGGAAAATTAAATTCTTACTAGTATTATAAAAGAAATTTCATTGAATAAATGGTACAGATCATATAGGCAGAATTACGATGACACGATATATACATTTTTAATATCTATACATGTTATACGTTTTCCATACAAAAATTTGAGTGAAACATAATAGAAAAAACAATAAATAAGAAAAAATAACTTAGAATGCTCGTTTCAACACAAAAAATTAATTATACCAACAATAAAACGATGTACAAAGAAAAAAATTTCAATACTCAAAAGTAAAGAAATTGGATAAAAGAGGAAAAGGGAGGGAAATATGCTGTATAATACGTAATATCGCGAGTATCTCTTGGTACCCCGAAGTTATCTAACTAACTACCACTCTTTTTCGAGGGAGTCGAGAAAGCTGTAGATTTCTGGGGCACATGACATTGTTTACATTAGTGACAATCGAATGATTCGAACAATTTTATGCCGAAAGTAAAATTTACAAGGATTGAACTACAAATAGTAGATTGTTACAAAAGGAAAGTTTAGAATATTTAATCAGCCTTAAAATGTGACGATTTTCAATGAAAAATCAATGAAAAGAGTCCACTTAGTTAAAAATAACGTTAAAAATGTAACATTTTAGGATAAGCTCCTCTCAAAAAATCGAGTAGGCTGGTTCAGCGATTGTATAGCAAGGTATTCCACCAGAATGATCGATCTTGCATTGCATTAAATAGCACATTTGCCCCCATTCAACAGACGTTTCCTACCTCAATCACGAAAGAGTTCCGCTAAGTTAAGTAAACGCGATATCAAGTATTGTAAATGGACGGAATTTTATATCTTCTTTTTCCATAGCACTTGGGTCAAGGATAATGTATATTTGCTTATGTATTATCGAGGAAATTTGATCTATACTCGAAAAAATTTTAGTGCTCAATTTTAATTTTAGGTCTTTTGTAAATCTTACTGCTTTATACACTAGACATGCAGAAAGTTGATATTATGCGCGTTTTAAAAATGACACCCCACTATATACTAGTACTAAAAAGAATCTACAGTAGGATTTTCCATTCTTTATTCAATCCTGAAGACAAAACATCAAGCCTGGTGTATATAAGCGACTTCTTATATATGTGTACAATAAACATGCTTTCGTTTTATTTATCCTGATTATTTATATTCTTACAAAAAGCAAACAATATCGTTGTCTCACACTTAAAATTCTGTTCTTTACTTTTATAACAGTGTTAAAGGTGTATAAAGGAGAAATGAAGAAAGATCTAAAAGTTGAAGGGGAAATCAGCAGTTATAACAATCCGTAAGAATATATTTGGAAGCTCTCATCAAAAACACTCTATCATATTGTGTAAGTAGTGTGGAGACGAGAGTGTACAACGGCTAGACCATTTAACAATACACTTCAGGTTGAGATCATTTTTAACGTAGCCTGACTCATTATCACGAGACCCGGTCATCTACTCAACTTGTCGGCATAATTAAAAAGTTATAAAATGCATGAATTTTGGAAAGATGACCCTCTTGTGCATTTAAATTTTAAGTCCAAAGTCCTGGGGTATGTTTAATCTTGGCTCCTCTTCTGTTTTCAATACCTTTAACATTCGGCTGTAACTTTTGAGCCGTATCTGGTAATCATCGTTAAGGTATCCGACCCATATTAGAACATAATTTTCTAATTTCTGAATCTAGTTGAAGCAGTTTAGAGTAGAAAAGGATTTACCAGGAGAAATTTTCAAAAATATGATTACCCTAGCAGTAATTAATTAATGAAGAATGCATTGAGGTCTATGGAAACAAGCAATTTTTTGAAAATAAAAATTAAAACCAATAGATATCAAAAAATGCTGTAGGGAAAGATGTATATAATTATTTAGAACAGAAAAATGTTTTGAAAGTAAGATTAAAAAAAAAGAATTTTATTGATTAAAAGCAAAGGGGGATAACTCTCTAAGGAAGGGTCAAGGCCAAAAATTATAGGGCACATTCTGCTCCTACATATTGATACTACAACACGAAGATTATGTCTGCATATACTGAGTATTCAGCCAATCTACCCCGGTATTTCTCTTTTGCATTGAAATTCATTGAATCTGAGGCTATAATCGATTGGATACCTTAATCAAGTCTGGCATTTTGAATTTTGCACATTTTGCACGTGTAGCATTATAATATAATTTATATCTTAAGGACGTTCGATCCTGAGATTTTGAGTGGATTTTGGCCATGTCCTTTATTAATAAAATACTGCATCATTTTTAAGTTGTAACATTAAATCTAGATTCTACAATGCAAATTTGACTATATGCAATGAAAAAACCGCTATAAAATTCCATTCAAGTAGAATTAAGCTAGGAACTATATTTTGTGGCGGAAGGTTTTTTTAAGAAGAAAATGATCAGTTATTTCCTTTTTGAACTATAACAGTATTGTTAATTTTAGATTCCAATTTTTCTATGCTGGTTGCACACAAAGCTGTTTTTGCAGTGAAATGTGTTATGCTGGTTCTAAAATATCTAATAAATTATTTCTTATGAATTCTTTCAGCGAAGTGTGACAAGTATAGTAAATATATATCCTGAAAATCCGGGGGGAAACTGAGCCAAATGAATCCAGTTTTAACATAAAACTGACACTTTTATAGCAATATCTGAAAATCTACATCATATGCCCCCATTTTTGATGTTCTTTTATCAATATTTAAGATAGCTTTGACCTATTTGCTTAAATTCAGAAAAAGTTTAAGGTTTTAAAATAATTTCCTTGCTTATTTTAAATTTCACTGCCAGAAAAATCCCATTTCATCGGTGCAGAAAGGTCAAATAATTGTTTATACGAAGCAATTTGAAACTTTTCTTAGTCACAATTTTAAAGACTCATTTTTTTTTACCGTACGGTTACCTGGGGAGGGTTAGTGTTCGAAGTAACAGAGGAGTTATTCACCTGGAGACCCCCAATACCCAAGATGTCAAAAATCTCTGTATAAAACGTAGCAGCACACAGGAAGTCTGTGTTAAGAAACTTTTGTAATCAGGGTCAACATTACGTGTTTTAAGTGAAACTACGCAAAATGATTATTTTAATATGAAATTTAATTGCAAACTAAACGCATTCGTGGTAATGTTTTGAAGGAAAAAATACAAAAATATTTCGTTTAATAAAAGGAGTTCGTTGAATTGAATAAAAAAATCACGAGTAAAAAATACAAAGCAATAATATTTATTTGTTTTTAATCTTCAATAAAAGAAATCACCATGATTAAAAAAGTCTGAATATTGAAATTAAAAAAAAAAAAAAAAATCCATTTATCCGTTTTGCATGTGAACATTTACCGCGATATCGGAATATTTTTGTTTTGTTTTGTTTTGTTTTGTTTTTCTAAATTTTCTGGCCAACAATGTTGTCCAAAATATTCAATATTTTCAATTCTTCGTGTGTTAACAAAATTTAATTGTTAAAAGATTTCTTTTCAGAGTCGATGACTATTAATTATCTTCACCTTTTCATTACGAATATAGACAGACGCTAGAGGAAATTCGAGCATTGATAAATTCTATCATAAAGAACTAAATGCGGTATATTGCATATATTTGCCCCCACAAAAGTCAAATTTTGAAAACTCCCTGAAATGTGCTGAATTCAATAAATTGTATGAGAAATATAAATTAACAGAAAATATTATAGTGTCAAAGCAGTGTATTTACAATTTTTGTTTTTATGACGTCACAAACTAGTCCGATTTTATATCCTTTTTCAGATTTAGGACAAAATGGACAAAATTTCAACAATTTTAGCTTTTAAATTTATAGAGCGCAAGTTTGTTCAGGAACGATATTGACACATTTCATTGATTTTATCATTCTACACATTATATCAAAATATTTATCCTGAACACACATGCGCTCGGTGTTTTTTACTCAAAATATCGACGAAATATGTACAAAAATTCTGTAAAATT